ACACACAAAGGGCTGCCGCCTCTCTCTCTCTCTGTCTCTCTCTCTCTGCACACCATTGCACCGCTAGACAGACAGACACACAGACTAGTGTACACGCTCTAGACAGACAGATGCAATACTTGTTTGTATTAACGGATTGCCTGTGCTCCTTGCTGTGAGTGAGAACAAACTCTCCTTTCTTCTGGCAGACGGACAAGTAATTAACTGTACACACACTACACAGCGGCCTTCTCCCCCCACAAACACACAAATAAAGACTCTCACTCTAAGGCACGCCAACAACAATCCCCCCGAGACAAAACCACCCCCACCCCCCACCCCAATGGGATGGCACCCCTCCCTCGCCCATCCCATGTGTCTGCCCATCTCCATCCATGCGTCTGTCTGTCTGTCTGTATCGTCATTCATTCATTCAGGGCATGCCCTGGAAGTTTTCACCTCTCTCGAAGAGGTCACTGTCCGGGCCCTCCCCCCTCCCATGGCTTTGCCCCTGCCCACCCTCCCCCTGCTGCATCATTGTGTCGAGCCGCTCCTTCAGACGCCGCCGTATCGCACACACAGCCGACAGCTGACCTCGGCCCATCGACACATTGCCGGGGATCGAGACGTCCTGCTTGTTGCTCGGTGAGGGGATGAGCGGCACGATCAGGGCGCCCCCGACGGTGCCGCTGCCCGTCATGGACACGCCCACCCGCGGCGGCTCGAAGAGCACCTCAAACTCAGTGTTGGAGCGAAACCGCCGCCTGAAGTAAAAAGCGCAGCCGTCATCTGCACACACGAATCCATGCAGCCAGCCGGCAGCCAAGGGGTCCGTGGACACATGTATGTATGTGTCGCTTGACATGATGTAATGTGAGGTTTTGTTGCTGAGACTTGACTTACCGCACTCTGATTGGAACCAGTAGAAGGGCAGGTCTGGCCAGGGGCCGTCGATGGTCAAGGTGGGCGACCTGTGCACACACACAGACACGGATGCACATGAATGTGCGTCCATGTGTTGCTGCATGTAATGGCACCAGGCGTCCCTCCCCTCTCACCTGAGCAAGGCTTTGTGCCGGACCACTCTGGGGTCATTCGTCACCGGCTCGATGTCCAAGGTGGTGAAGCTACC